TCACAGAGACTGGAAGCCTTGTGGCAAAAGTAAATGATTGCAAGGCTTCTAAGTGTGCCCATTACCTTGCTCTAACTAACAATAACAAGATAAGAAACAAAGTAGGTTATTAGTCTAAGCCCTATTCTTTATGGATTTCCTGCCATTCCTAGGTAAGATAAAACCACTAAACAGACGGCATGTCACCTTTCGCCAAAATGGGTTTAAGGTTATTTTTTACGCTTGCTGCAGAGAAAATCACTATCAAAGGAGAATATAGAAGAGTAAATATACAGTGGATATGTTTGTCTGAATTGGGCATGTTCTGACCATCAAGGTGATATATTTTACATTTACAATAGTGGCAGTGCTGTACTCTATTGTATACAGTATATTACTTTTACTACTATATACAATATAAATAGACCTGTCACAAATCTCGCTAATTCAACTTTGAGGGTTACCTGCAGGTAAACAAATGTTAGGCCTCTTTCACATGGAGAAGACTCCACTTTGTACAGTGGGGGATCGGTCCTCAGCACAGCACATTGGGTGGATGGCAGGTCCATGTCCGCTCTGTTTATACAGAGGGGTCATGGACACAGGCAGCACTGCTCTATGGGTTGTCGTGTGTAAATGAACCAGCTGTCCGTTTACACCTGACTGCCCTCTGATCCGCCTAGAAGGAATGGGAACAAAGCTCCTTCCATTTCTTTTTAGTGGATTGGAGGTAGATGGGTGTAAACGGACACAAGTCACCCGCCGCTCCATAGAGGTGAATGGAGGAATTGATCGGGACAGCCTGAAGAACTGAGAGGCGGACCCGATCGGACCTTTAGAAAATCCAGATCCTAGATCCAGAGATAAAGACAACATAAATCATATGTTAAAGCGGAGTTCCACCTGAAAAAAAAAAAACAGAAGTCAGCAGCTACAAAAACTGTAGCTGCTGACTTTTAAAATACAGTCACTTACCTGTTCCTCGGTCCAGCGGTGTCCTCACCACCGCAGGTTTCACTGGCCATCTTCTCTTCCTGGCACTGACATCTTGAGTGTGGGCACCCGGCTGTGACAGCTTGCGGCTTCACAGCCGGGTGCCCACTGCACATGTGCAAGAAGCACTGCGCTTTGTGAATGGCCCCGTAGTCTTCTGGGACCTGTCACCTCTCCCAGAAGACTATGGGGAGGGAGGGGGGAGGACAACTTCCACTTCTGATCGCCTAGGCGATCGCAGCGGAAGTGGGAACGGGTACCTGTCAAATTAGGGTACCCGCTCCCCAAAGGTGTCAATCATTAATGGGAAGCGGGGGATAAAGGCTTAAGGCGGAACTTCCTCTTTTGGGTGGAGCTCCGCTTTAATCTTGACTAAGTGGAGAAACTTTGTGGGAAACTGCTAATTAGAACAGGACACAGTAGTGATGAAGAGGTCGATGGATGGAGCCATACTGGACAGTTGGAAAGCAGGCATCTGATACCCCTGGAAGTGTATCAAGATAATGATTCTGCTGGAGGCTTTACTCTGCAAAAGAGCAAAGATACCAGGAAAAGATGGCAGGACAGGTAAGTCTAAAAGGTCTTCTTTTACAAGGTATTTCAATTTCAAGTATAATTAAAGGCAAAACTGTTTTTTTATAGTTTTGGATAGAGTGGAGAAGGATTAGAACACCTGTCAGTTTTATTGCTGTCTGTGCCCCTGTCAGTCACCGGTCACACTGCTGCGATTTAAAATCACGTGATTTGTGTGCAATTTTCAGCCCGGTTTCAGGTGCAATTTCTGAAGAAATTGGTGATTTGTAAAGATTTTCAATGATTTCTTGGGATTTGCACTGCGATTTCCATTATATTCTATGTATGTGAAATCACAATAAACTGCAGAAACAGTAATGCAAGAACCACTTTAGAAATCGCGCTGCAGCAAATGGCACGTTAAGACACTGACATTCACATTCATTAGATGCGATTTCAATTCGCAAATCGCGCCTGAAATCACTCCAGTATGACCGGGCTCTTAAGGAGATTCATGCTCTCCATTTCTCCTGTGTACCATTATTATTATACAGGATTTATATAGCGCCAACAGTTTGCTCAGTGCTTTACAATACAACAGGAGACAATACAGCAACAATACAGTTCAATACAAGAGGGATAGGAGGGCCCTGCCCCTTGGAGTTTACAATCTAGGAGATTATCAGTGAAATTGAAAATAAAAGACAATCCCAAATTTTGGGGTGTCCCCAGAAAAGTAATAGTGGTGAAATCTTCCATTGGAGACACTAGTTCTGGTGACCTGGGGGTCCCCAAGGGATTCCCTTAATTTGCAGGGATTTCCTCTCACTTAATATTTGACTATGGGACAGAAAGTGAAGGGAAATTGCTGAAATGGCACACCGATAGCGAAAGATAAATCTGACAGGGGTTATAATCCTCTCTTACTCTATCCAAAATGAGAAAAAAAAAGTTTTTCATACAGTTCAACTTTTATTTTTAAAAGGCAGTAGAAGTGCGTTTTGTGATCCGTTGATTTCAAAATTCGACCAACCGAGCCTTCAATTTCACCTCATGTTGCTGCAGAAAATAATTTTCATGTTTGGGAATCTTCTTTTCTTTCCAGGTCACAGCTCATGCTCATTTCTTTTTCGATTATATTTCTTGCATGATTCTCCCATCTATAATTTGAAATTCGTTTATTTTTCAAAAAATTTCCAACATACCCGATCACTAAAATTCGATGGCCGCATGAAACTCGGCTGATGCTGCGGCCCACTAATGGGCGAAAATTCTTAGTTACAAATTTCTAAAGAAAATTCTTTAGGAATGCGACCCATTTATGGCCTGTATAAGAAACAAATTAGATTTTGGGCATCCCCTGCAACAAAAAATTCATTTTTTGGTGAGTTACTCCCAAAGGAAAATCATATTAAAGGACTGCAGACCTTGCCATACAGACTTACTCTGCACATGGACACAGACGCAGACAAACAGGCATTCCTTCAGAATAACACAAGGTAGTAATCTGCAAGAGAGTTTGTTAAAATCCCTGTAAAAATGTAAAAAGATCAACCAGAGGAGAATGTTTTTTTTCTGAACAAAAGTGGAGGTACTCTTTAAGGTAAATTGTGTGTGAATTCTAACTTGCAGACAACTGCGTTCTTCTCTGACTGAACAATTTGACTTTCATGGAGTAGTTCTTACGCATGTCCTCATACATGTATTTCTATTCTATGTGTCTCTAGAAATAGAATTACTGAAGCAGCCACCTCCGTATGATGACTCGCTTCAATCCAGGAAGGCCATCCATATATATTCTGTCCTGGAGTGCAGGATAATGGGGTAGCCTACACTAGCTGGATCATGGTTATGGATATTCAAAATTCAAGATTAAAATAGAAGTTAATACTTTGAAGCCTGAGATGCAGGTGAATGATTCACTGTAAAGTAAAAAATCCAGCTTTCTTTAACCCCTTCTTGTATACTACATGTGCTAGAAGGATTTTAGGAACCTTAATTGAATATTTCTACTTTACCTACTCATCTTCCACTTAAAGCGGAGTTCCACCCAATAGGGGAAGTTCCTCTTTAATGCTTTATCCCCCGCTCCCCATTAAGGATTGGCCCCTTTGGGGAGCAGGTACCCAAATTTGACAGGTACCCCCTCCCACGTCTGCTGCAATTACCTAGGCGATCGTAAGCGGAAGTTGTCCTCCCCCCTCCCTCCCCGTAGTCTTCTGGGACACGTGACAGGTCCCAGAAGACTGCGGGGCCATTCACAAAGTGCAGCGCTGCTCGCACAAGTGCAGTGGGCACCCGGCTGTGAAGCCACAAGCTGTCACAGCCGGATGCCCACACTAAAGTTTCCAGAGTCAGGGAGAGAAGATGGCCGGAGAAACCAGCGGTGGTGAGGACACTGCTGGACTGAGGAACAGGTAAGTGGCTGTATTTTAAAAGTCAGCAGCTACAGGTTTTGTAGCTGCTGACTTTTTTTTTTTCAGCTGGAACTCCGCTTTAAAGAGTCAAACAAGGGACTTTGTGGAAAGTAGATCTTAAAGTAGAACTAAAGGCAATTTTTTTTTCTTTGGATAGACCAAACCTAAACCCCCTGACAGATATTTTTTGGGGGTCATCTTTGTTCCTTTGCGGAGATTTGCCTTCACTTCTGTCCCACAGCCAAACAGGAAGTGAGAGGAAATCCCTGCCAAGCAAGGGAATTCATTGGGGACCCCCAGGTCACCAGAATTAGTGTCCCCATTGGAAGGTTTCTCCACTATTGCTTTTCTAGGAACAACCCAAAATTTGGGATTTTCTTTTACTTTCACTTTCAGTGATAATGGTAAACAGAAGAGGGTGAATCTCCTTAAAGCGGAATTCTACTCAAAAGTGGAAGCTCCACTTATTGGCCTCCTCCCCCCTCCACTGCCATATTTGGCACCTTTTGGGGGGAAGCGGATAGCTGTTTTTGATAGGTACCGGCTCCCACTTCCGGCTCAGTTTGTCGTGGAGAAGTGAGCCAGAAGTTCAGTCCCCTCCTCCCTCCCGCAGTCTTCTGGGAACTTTCACAGGCCCCAGAAGACTGCCGGACCATTTAGGAGGCTCAGTGCGACTCGCACATGCGCAGAGGGCACCAAGCTGTGAAGCTGCAAGCTGTCACAGCCTGGTGCCCACAGTTGAGATGCCATCGCTGTAGAGGAGAGAAGGGACTGCGCGGGTAGTGAAAACATTGCTGGACTCTGGGACAGGTAAGTGTGTGTTTATTAAAAGTCAGCAGCTACAGTTTTTGTAACTGCTGACTTTTAATAAACACAAAAACGTCTGGAACTCCGCTTTAAGGTGTTACTAAACCCAGGACCCTGCATTCCCTATATCTGGTCTCCCACAGTACACAGAACATGGAAGTGCAATTATTTTAGTAAATATAAACTGCTAAATACCTTTTCTCATCAGCAATTAGAGCAGTCTTGTGATTTCTATCAGTGTCCAGGGGAGCACTGGTTAAAGCTTGTAGGAGGAGTATTCATTCTCCTCTCACTGTCCTATGAGATTGCATAACCCCTAACCCTCTGTCTGGACAGTGGTGATTGGCCCTGTGCTGATCACGTGCACTCTCCCAAGAAAAAGAAAAAAACTCTCTAGCAATACACACCAAACTGAGCATGTGCAGAGTGCCGATGATATGTTCTATCAGGAGATGAAATGGGGAACGTGGAAGAAAAGGAAGATCAGAGAAAACAGGATCAAACATCCTTTTTACACAATGCAAAGGGTTAGGTTCCACAGTGAGTATAACAAGTATGCTTACTGCATGTACAGACTGATCTTACTGTTGTGGGTTTAGTAACACTTTAACAGGGGCACAGACAGCAATAAATACTGACAAGCGTTCAAGTCCCTCTCCACTCTATAACTAAAGGCAAAACTGTTTTAGTTCTGGATACTTTTATTTGAAACACTACTCTCAGGATGTGAGGGATGTGCTTGGTGCAGACAGATGCAAATATTGGGATGCAAAGGCCTGTCTGCTTTATAGTATTAGATGACAAATGTTATAACTGTCTTAGGCTGGCCATACACTATACAATTTTCTGTTCAATTTCCGCCCAATTTCCTTTAGATTTACCTTCAACTATGTAGTGCAAGGGCCTGCTTAATTGGATACAATTGAAAGTGTTGTTTAGGTTTGACCTCATATTATATGGTTTTTGGTAAATCTAAAGCAATTTTCTAAAGAAAATTGTATAATGTATGGCCAGCCGTAGCCTCCCAAGCAGTATTCCCAAGTGTAGCTCAGAGTAAAGTTTCAGTACCAAAAGCGGTAACCCTGAGCTACACTTGGGCTTACCATGCAGCGCTGCTCCGGGATCTGTTCTTCTCTTACCTTGTCCTGCACTCCCGCGATGTCCCTCCTGCACTGTCCCCTGTATTGTCCTCCAGCGGATGCCGGCATCTGTCTTCTGGGTTCCGTCCCCTGCGACGTCGGGACGTACGGGGACGGAACGGCGGAAAATTTGAAAATGACAAAAAAGTGACATTCACTCAATACACTAAAATCACATAGTAAAACATTACTGTATCAAACCATTTCACATACATTTTGTCCCTAGTGCTTTGTCCTGTGCCCTGCCTGCATTTGTACCGTTCTTTCTGCCTGGAAACTGAGAAACGTCCATGGCATCCAAAAAGCGTCCCTTTAGGTCAAAATCGGTTTTAGACCAGCTAGAGAACAGCGATAGTAAATTAGAACCACTTGCAGAATTGAGTGATGATTCATGGGGAAATTATTATTATTATACAGTATTTATATAGCACCAGAAAGGTTTGCTCAGCACTGTACATTATAGTGGGGGACAGAACATGAGACAATAAAGTAACAAAACAAAACACGAGGGGTTCGAGGGTCCTGCTCTTTCGAGCTTACAATCTAGGAAATTCGTCATCAGACACTAAAAACGATTTTGCGACTTTGCTCAGTGATGTGCGAACTTGGCGCTCTATTTCAAATTTCAGTTTTTTGGTTTGATTATATTATTGAATTAAATGTATTATTATTATATTATTATTTTTTATGATTATTTATTAAATTATAATTTATGATTTCGTGTTTCAAATTTTATCATACCCGGGATGTTTACTAGACTCTTGTTCCCACAGATTTCAGCGAGTTATTCCTAAAAATTACAGGTCTACAATAAAAAAAATACATATTTCCATGCAAAAAATGTACCGCTGTGAGCACAGAAATATGGACATAATCAGACTGCTAGGGAGGTTATTTAAGCTCTGCACACAAAGGGGTTGATTTACTAAAGGCAAATGGGCAGTTCACAAAGGAAGTTGCATTTTGCAAGTCAAATTTTCCCTAGAACCCAGTTAATGCAGTGGAGTTTCACTTGGAATAGAATACCCAATCACATACAAAGCAAATAAAAAACATTTATGATTGCATATGACTAGCTGATGTCAGCAGAGGTTCAAATAATTCCCAAAGCTTTGGGGAAAATTACCTTGCACAGTGAACAGTTTGGACTACCATGCCTCTGAAAAGCAATCTGCCCTCAGAACGTTTTCCAGAGGCATTTGATAGTCAGTGAAGAAGCAATATGTTGACACCTCGCTGCCTGTTTTAACCCCCTAAATGCTGAACAGTCATGTCCCAACTGCATGCAGTTGCAGCGCAGCCCCATTCAGTTGAATGGGTCACGTTCAGGGGGGGGGGCGGTAGTGCACGCCGACTGTGAACGGGGGTATAATTCCTGCCACGGCTGTGAAGTGCAGCATCTTGGCAGTAACGTGTGTACACCCTCAGTCGTTGCCTTTGCAGCTTAAGGAGAAGCAGTCGGGGACGGTAAAAATGCGGTGAAAACAAGCTCTTACCAAACTTGTCTAAGAAAGTTCACTGTCCATCACAAGCCTTATTATTTACACATTCAACTACAAGTGCAAATAAGTGGCTTAAATTAGCTGCAGAGAAAAGAAAGAAAAGGATGGAGACACTACCATGAAGAAACATACAGGTGGAATGCAAACATAACATCGTAAATCTTTCACTAAAGGGGGTTTGTAAACAAATGGAATGTCGAGTGAATCATTCTCATTCAACTGGTTTCACGAATGTGTATACAGGACCAACTGACAATTTCCCTGACCCTTTTTTAGCAACACTAAAAAATATCAAACATTCATACAGTTGCAAGAAAAAGTATGTGAACCCCTTGGGATTACGTGGAGTTTTGCATGAATTGGGCATAAAATGTGCTCTGAACGTCATCTAAGTCACAACAATAGAAGAACACAGTCTGCTGAACATAATACTACACAAACATTAGATGTTGCCATGGGCACATAACATGTAAACATTCACAGTGCAGGGAGGAAAAAGTATGTGAGGCCCTAGCTTAATGACTTCTCCCAGAGCTAATTGGAGCCAGGAGTGAGCCAACCTTTAATCCAATCAGTGTGATGATATTGGATGTGTTGCTGACAGCTGTCCTGCCCTTAAAAAACACATGCCTGTTTTGGGTTTACTGGTTTCAAGAAGCACTGTCTGATGTGAACCATGCCTCGCAGAAAAGAGCTCTCAGAAGACCTACGATCAAGAATTGTTGACTTGCATGAAGCTGGAAAGGGTTACAAAAGTATCTCCAAAAGCCTTGATGTTCATGTGTCCACGGTAAGACAGACTGTCTACAAATGGAGAAAGTTTAGCACTGTTGCTACTCTCCCTAGGCGTGGTCGTCCTGTAAAAATGACTGCAAGGGCACAGCGCAGAATGCTGCATGAGGTAAAGAAGAATCCCAGAGTGTCAGCTAAAGACCTACAGAAATCTCTGGCACATGCTAACATTTTTGTTGACACATCTACAATAAGGAAAACATTAAACAAGAATGGAGTACATGGGAGGACACCACGGAGGAAGCCATTGCTGTCCAAAAAGAATATTGCAGCATGTTTGAAGTTTGCAAAAGAGCACCTGGATGTTCCACAGCACTACTGGCAAAATATACTGTGGACAGATGAAACCAAGATTGAGTTGTTTGGGAAGAACACACAACACTATGTGTGGAGAAAAAAAGGCACAGCACACCAACATCAAAACCTCATCCCCACTGTAAAACATGGCGGAGGGAGCATCATGGTTTGGGGCTGCTTTGCTGCCTCAGGGCCTGGACGGATTGTTGTCATTGATGGGAAAATGAATTCCAGAGTTTATCAAGACATTTTGCAGGAAAAAGTACGACCATCTGTCTGCCAACTGAAGCTCCGCAGAGGATGGGTGATGCAACAGGACAATGACCCAAAGCATACAAATAATTCAACAGATCAATGTCAGGGAAATCTGTATTTACCCAATCCTCCCATCTTCCGGAAAACCGTTTCTCCCACGCGTCCAGTAAGGGCTACTCATACAGGCTCACACCCAAGCCCTGCTGCTTGTGTCCATTGACACAGGCAGCGGGGTTTGTCGCATCCCCAGCTCCCTTGTCATAGGATTTGATGGACAGCAGCCGGAGCCAAAGGGCTCCCACTGCTATCAATCTACCCTGTGAAGAGGGAGAAAGCCCCTGCTCTTGTGCACAGTGCCAGATCGAGATCAGGCTCACGTAAATGTAATTGGGGGGGGGGGGGCTATGGGGGATCCTGGAAACAGAAGGTAAAAAACCTTGAAGCAGAACTCTGGTCAAAACTTTTATTTTTTTATGCAGTGGGACTGTGCCCGCAACTGCATGGGTTAAGTGCTCGCTTTGTCCAGGGGCTCAGGGAAATCAGTACTTACCCATTCCTCCCATCTTCCGCAAAACTGTGCTCCCCTGCGTCCCGTGGTGGACTGTTCCTGGCGTCCTCAAGTCCGGAGCTGGTCTATGGGCGTGATGACATCACGAACAGCCCATTCACAAGATAGCTAGCATGTGGGGGGCGAGTGGTCAGTGACCAGTCTTGCGCTTGGAGATTCGGTTGATTAGGTAAGTATATCTTTGCTTTCTGAGACCCTAGACAAAAACAAGCATCTAACCCATGCACGTCTGGAACTCCACACAGCCCCACTGCATGGGAAAATAATAATTTTGCCCGGACTTCTTTAAGGTTTAAGTCACATACATGCATACTGGGGCTTATTTAGATATGAGTCAGTCAATTAACCTACCAGCATGTTTTCGGGGTGTGGGAGAAAACCGGAATACAGAGAGAGAACCCAAGCAGGTACAGGGAGAACATGGAAACTCAATCCAGATTCAAACCAAGCACCCTAATGCTGCATGGCAAAAGTACTAACCACTGAGCCATTGTGCTACCAATATGCTTTAAACATTGGTGTTGTCCATCTTCAGGCTGCTTTGTGTGTACACATAATAGTGTGTAGGTGTGTGTTAATGCAAATTCATGTGTGCATACATACACTGTATTCAGTTTGCCAAATGTATTCCACTCCTTGTAGTTTCCTAATGGCTATTTTTCTACAATAATTTCACCCACTGTATGTCTATAACTCAGTCTGGCAATAAAGATGAAAAAAAAAATGCTATGCTTAAAACAGCACAGTATTTTCACGTACAAAGCTCTGTGCATTAATAATGTGAGCATCCTATGACTGCCTTGCTCTCTGATAATGGACTGCCTACACATACATTTTCAAGGGTAATGACACTCTTGCTTATTAAAGACCTCGCCGCTGAAGGGGCAGCATATTATGAACTGGATGATCCATTCACTTTCTTGGATGTGTTATTCAGTATTTTATGCTAAACTAGCAATACACCATCCATTTTAGTACAATGATCCTTATGTTCAATAAAAGTGAAGTGCTGCATCGTAAATCATTACAGCCATTTATTCTACATT